GATCGTCTCTGTGGGTGGGGGACTGGGGTGCATGGAGGGTACTGGAAATAAAGACAATAACAGGGTGAGCTGGGGCTGTCCTGGTTGGTGGGGGGCTGTGCCCCTTCTGAGTCAAGATACCCCTGAGACTCACCAGCCATTGAGGTCATCTCTGTGGGTGGGGGGCTGGGGTCCAGAGAGCGTCCTGGGAATGAGGCAATAACAGGGTGAGGGGCTGGAGCTGTCTGGGGTGGCGTGACTATGCTCCTTCTGAACCATGATACTCCTGGGACCTACCGCCTGCTGAGGTCAGCTCTGTTGGCTGGGGGCTCGGTTGAACGGAAGGTTCTGGGAGTAAAGACAATAACAGGGTGAGGTGCTGGGGGCTGTCCTGGGTGTGGGGCTGTGTTCCTACTGAGCCAAGATATCTCTGGACTCACCAGCTGTTGAGGTCCAGTCTGTGGGTTGGGGGCCGGGGTGCCCAGAGGGTGCTGGGAATAAAAACAATAACAGGGTGAGGGACTGGGGCTCCCCTGTGGTGGAGGGGCTGTGCTCCTTCTGAGCCAAGATCAACCTGGGACTCACCAGCTGTTGAGATTGGCTCTGTGGAGTTGGGGCTGGGGTGCATGGAGGGTCCTGGAAATGAAGAGACCAACATGGTGAGTGGCTGGGGCTGTCCTGGTGCGCGGCCGTGCTCCTACTGAGCCAAGATACCCCTAGGACTCACCAGCTGTTGAGGGCAGATCTGTGGGTTGGGGTCTGGGGTGCACAGAGAGTTCTGAGAATAAGGAAAATAAGAGGGTGAGGGCCTGGAGTTCCCTCTGGGGGAGTGGAAACTGTGTTCCTTCTGAGCTCAGATAACCCTGGGACTCACCAGTTACTGAGGTCTGCTGTGTGGGTGGGGGGCTGGGGTGTCCAGAAGGTGCTGAGAATGAGAACAATAACAAGGTGAGGGGCTGGGACTCCCAGGGGGGAGGGGACTGTGCTCCTACTGCATCAAAATACCCCTGGGACTCACCAGCTGTTGAAGTCAGATCTGTGGGTGGGGTGCTAGGCTCCACAGCGAGTTCTTGGAATTAACACAGGGAGGGTGTGAGGGGTGCTGCTACCCCTGGAGCTCCCACTCACTCAAACTCTCCCCCTACATCTGTGCTGCGGCCTTCTCAAGACTCTCCCTGCACCTACCTGAGAGGCCCCTGTTGGCTTCCTCCACTTTGAGGGATGGGCCCGCTGGCTGACCCTACCCCAGAGCTTCTCACCCCATCCCACCCCAGGTCTCTCCTCTCAGAGAGGGCCGGGTCAGGGGTGCTCACCTAAGACCATGAGCTCCTGGGGATTACTGGGCTGTGACAATAGGTAGAGGTAGAGTCCGCGAGAGCCATAGCACCTATAGGTTCCTCCATGGGCTGAGGTCACAGGACCCATGGAGAATTCAGCCTGGTACCGTCCAGCTCTGAGCTTTGATCTGAGCTGCAGAGGGGGATCAACTGCCCCATCCTTAGCCAGAAAGAAGGTGGCTGTTGGGCTCAATGACTGGCACACAAAGGTCACATTCTTTCCTGAGACCACCGTGGAGCCTGGCTGCACCAAGAGGAAGGGCCTGTAAAAGAGCTGTCCTAGAGAGAGTGGAAGGAGGGGTGAGGGAGGCCTCCTACCTTTTTCTGAGGTGACATTTCCTTGGGCCTCTCTCTGAACACCTTCAGTGTCCTTGTCTCAGTGTCTCTGAGTCTCCCTCTCCCCACCTACCTCTATGTCTCTGTCTCTCTCTCTCCCTGAGAACCCCACCTCCTCCCAGCCATCACCCTTCCCCTCTTTCCTCCACCTACAAGGACTGTACAGATTCCGAGTCCCTGACTGAACCTGCTGGGTTGCTCACCTGAGATCAGGATGTCCAGGGGGTCACTGGGGGCTGACCACTCTAAGGAGATGTTGTATCTACCGTAGCATCTGTACTGACCCCCGTGGGAGCCCCTCACAGGGCCCAGGGGGAAGTCAACCTGAGAGACCCCAGCCTGGGGCTGCCAGCCAGGGCGCTCAGTAAGGACACGTCCGCCATCCTGGGACAGAGTAAATCTGTCATAGCCAACATCAGAGCGACACTGGAGGGTCAGGCTCTGTCCAGAGGCCAGCATAGGGCCCTGTGGGGCGAGGAGGGAGGGCTTCCTAGACACACCTGCGGGGGAAGGACAGGCTGTGAGCTGCAGGTGTTGGTTCCTGCCAACTCCTCAGTGTCCTGTCCTGGCCCTACAGGTGTCACTGTCTCTCACTTTCAGGGTCTCTGGCTCCAGAGCCCTTGCTCCCTCACCCCACCTTTCCACCTGGGGCTCTCTGGAAGCAAAGTTCACAGTGAAATTTTTGGAGTCTCAAAAAATGAACAGTGTAGGACAAAATCTCCTTACCTGATACAAAAAGCTCCACAGGGTCACTAGGTTCTGACCACACTTGGCGGTTGTTCCTGTGGTACCCGTAGCATCTGAACATCCACTTATAGCTGGGGGTCACAGGGCCCACAGTAAACAGGGCCTCAAACTGCCCAAAGAAGGGTTGGCTTGAGTCCAGCGTCCAGGACAGGTTTTGTTGTCCTTCGTTAGTCAGAATGAACTTGTCAAATTTTGGCCATGACGCACACTTGAGGATCACTGAACCTCCTGAGGTCACCACACGGCTTGGCAGGGCTGAGAGGGTGGGTTTACCATAAAAAACTAGGAGAAGGAGGCAGGCATGAGAAATGGGGCTCAGACCTCCCAAATCACCCCCAGGGCTGTGCTGAGATGGATTCACCCCTGAGAGCAGATTGTTTTCCTGAGGGCAAAGCTTGGGACTGGGACCTCCAAGTGTCCTCACACCTGCACCACCTGTGACAACCCAAAAGAGCTATAGTAGTGACAGTGGTATCATCCTGCATGGTGCTTTGTCATGGATGGGATGTTGAACTTGGCCTTGTACCTAGGCTCCAGTGGTTTCTGTCTGTCCCAGGGTTCTAAGTGTCCCTCTTTATCCAGTTGATACTCCTGGGCACTCAAGGTCCCCTCACGCTAGATGGCCACTGGGTATCCCTGGGTTATTATAATTCTTTCTCAGCCCAGAGGGTGTATTTGGGGATGGGACCTGGCAGGAAATCAGAGGCTGAGTCCCATGACCTTCCCACCTCTAGGATCCCAGCTCTCAGCCCAGGACCCTTCAGATGTCCCTCCCAATCAGCCCAGAGATGGTGTTTCCCATTCCCAGCTGCCCACGGGAGTCCCCTTCTCCCCATTTGGGATCTAGGGCAGGTGGGGCAGACTCACATGCTTGTACGCAAGTCCTAGAGGCCAGACTGAACCCTGGAAGAGAATTCCCTGTCAGAGATTGGTCCCCAGAAGGCTGAGCACATCCCCTGCTCCGCAGGAGCCTCCTAAGCCCGTGGGGTCTCCTGATGGAGTAGTGTCTGGCTGTGAGATGGCATCCCTCCCAGACCAGGGCCTCCCCTGCCCCTCCTCACATCTCACCAAGGCAGAGCAGGGCTGTGAGGATGAAGGTCATGGCGTCTCCTCCCACTGGCCCCAGCAATGTAGATGGAGGAGATCAGGGTGCCTGCAGGACAGACAGAAGCACAGGGTGTGGGCAGAGTAAAGCTTGGGCTTTCCCATCATGGGTTGTCACAATAGCAGTCCCGCAGGGAGAGGAATTGCCCTTTTTTCCAGAAGCCTGGTTCTGATTTAGGCTCTCTGTAGACATTTCACACAGAAATGGAGTCTCCTCTGATCATTGGCCATTGTCTTCCTGGTCTCAACTCCACCCTGCCCAAGCATCAACACTTAATTTATTGAGTTGTGCAACGTGCCTAACCATGGAAATACATTACTAACCAAATTTAAGGAAACCCTGAGTTTGCGGAGCTCAGATTATCATAATGCTGATATTTAGTGTGGGCGTTCTCTTTTGCTACTCTGAGCAATAGTACAAGTTTAGAGGCTTAAAATTACACAGGGTCCTTATCTAAAGGTTCTGGATGTCAGAGGTCCAAAAGGCATCTCCTTAGACTATTGTCTGAGGTCATCAGGTCTGTGTCCCTTCTGGGGGCTCCAGGGAAAATCCCTTGTCTTACATTCTCTCAAGCATCTACAGGCTTCCTGCATTCCTTGATTCCCACCCCTCCATTCTCAAAGCCAGCAAGCCCATTATTCCAATGTCCACTTGTGTCTTCTCTTCTCTGACTCTCACCCTCCTGCCTCCTTCTTTCATTTATAAGATCCTTGTGTGATCACATTGAGCCCACCTGGATGTTCCAGGATCATTCCCCTACCACATGTTCCTGAAGTTAATCATGATTGCCAAGTTCTTTTTGCCATGTAAGATACCATATCCATGGGTTCTGAGGATCAGGAATGAAGTCATCATTCAGTCTGCCAAATCTCATAGAAAGCACTGTCATTGGATAATGGGGAGCAGCTGGGTTTGCACAGTTGGCTATTTGGTTGGTAGGTCCATACTGAGTTCATGACGGACAGCTCATGTCACAGGGTAAACTGCCTACTTAAAGCCAACCAAGAGTTCAGTCCCTACTGCAGTATAGTAGCAGTGTCACTAATGGAGAACTGTTCTCTGCAGAAATGGCTTCATTTGGCTTCAGAATCTTAAACGTCTGTGTTGCTATTTCATCTACAGTTTCCTGCCAAAAGTTCTGTGGTGAACCTCATCTGCTTCAGACACCAAGCATTGCACCTGCTGGTAACAGGATTCAGGCTGTCAGCTGTCTGCTGCCTGCACTTGTTGCAAAGACTTCTTTCACTCTGGGCCCTCATCAAAACCATGCCTGCATTCTTACCATTCTGGGAATCTGAGTTGGGAGAATCCCCTGAGGAATGTGTCTCTACTAAAAATACAAAATGGAGCCATGCATCAATGCAGGCAGCTACAGTCCTAGGTACTTAGGACATTGTGGCAGGAGGATCCCTTGTACCCAGGAGTTTGAGGTTGCTGTTAGCTATGATGATGCCACTTTAGTCTAGCCTGAGTGACAGAGTGAGACTCTGTTTACAAAAAACAAAAACAAAAACAAAACAAAATATTTAGTCTTATGATCATCTCAGCAGATGCTTTAAAAATATTCGACAAAATATATGATAATATCATTTAATGATAAAACCCCCAAATGAGGAATAGCAGGAATGGACCTCGACACAATAAAGGACATACGTACAACAAGTCCACAGCTAGGGTAATGCTCTATGGTGAAAAACTGAAAGCTTTTCTCTACTATCAGTAGCAAGACAGGGATGAAAGATGAAAGAGGTCAAATAGAGGTGGTGAGAGGGCATAAGATCTAATTGTCAGAGCAGTGAAGAGAAAAAAACATGAAGCATCCAAATCTGATAGAAAGAAGTATCTGGGCTCAGTGCCTGTGGCTCAAGTGGCTAAGGCGCTAGCCACATACACTCAAGGTGGTGGGTTCGAATCCAGCCCGGGCCCACCAAACAACAATGACAGCTGCAACCAAAAAAAAAATATCCAGGTGGGGTGGTGCCTGTGGCTCAAAGGAGTAGGGAAGCAGCCCCATATGCTGGAGGTAGTGAGTTCAAACCCAGCCTTGGCCAAAAACTGCAAAAAAAAATTAGCTGGGTGTTGTGGCCAGCACCTGTGGTCCCAGCTACTTGGGAAGCTGAGGCAGAAGACTGGCTTGAGCCCAGGCGTTGGAGATTGCTGTGAGCTGTGATGCCACAGCACTCTACCCAGGGGTATAGCTTGAGGCTCTTGTCTCAAAAAAAAGTGTCTGTTTGTAGACATGACCCTGGATTACAAGAGAAGTAGGAGAAAAGTCTGGCCTTTAGCCAAGGAAGTTATAAAGGGGCCCTGCAGCAAACAATGAGTTTCAGGGACCTTGTGACTTGGTTGATTGAGTACGTCCTATTCTCCACAAAGTGCAGTTTCTAGGTTACAATAATGGTCAGAGTTACAGAATGGAGCACACAGAAGGTGTCACACATATCATAAGACTACCAGTCACCACCAAACAAATACTTGGAAATAACAAGTATTATTATTGTTAACACACAAGGGGAAATGGGGCACATGCAGTAGCTAACGTAACTCGTGACCAATAAGAAATAGGTAAGAATACCTAAGGACCTTGGGAAACCAGTGAAAACCTGCTGCAGGTAATTATAGGGGAATCTAGGATGAAGTACTTAACACCAGTGTATTGTTTTGGGTCAGGGTCTCCTCTCCTGAAGGAGACCCTTTTCCCATCTCTCTGGAAAAGTCTATGCTTCTCCGTGCTTTGCTTTATTTTTTTCCTTTTATTAAATCATATCCATAGATCATGAATATATTTATGCATTTGTGGAGTACAATGTATTGAGATTTTATGTGATTTGGAGTGTTTACATCAAACTAATTAATATAGCTTTCACTTCATTTACTTAAGTATTATGTTAAAACATTTATGTTCTATGCTTAATAGATTTGACTTGTACTCTCGGAATATGCTCCATAGGTGTGGTCCCACCATTTACCCTCCCTCTATCAAACCTCCCCCTTCCCCTCCCACCCCCTCCCCTTCTCTCCTTCATCCTGGGCTATAGTTGTGATCTATATTTCATAAAAAAGTGTGAGTAATTATAAATTATTTTCATAAAAGTACTGAGTACATTTGGATACTTTTTCTTCCATTCTTGATCCTGCAATTCCTCCACTAAGTGTCTATCCAAAAGACAAAAATCACTTTGCAACAAATATCTTTGCACCAGATTGTCTATTGCAGCTCAATTCATAACTGCCAAGTCATGGAAGAAACCCAAGTGCCCATGAACC